AAAAAAAAAAAAAAAAAAAAAAAATCTCATATCTCTAAGAGAAATAAGAAACAAATAACCATCATTATTAACTGCAATAACTATCTAATCTATTCTATGAAAGGAACATATTTTGTCAGTAAAAAAATTCACAATATTCTATAATCTTTTACCAATTAAATGCATTTTCTCATTTTTCCCTTTTATGAGAAATTAAGGACACATCAGTAGATATGACTTGTCTAGTATACTTTGTGTAATTTCCCCTTTTGGGCTACGTCTTGGAATTGCTTCAGTGAATTATAATGGTTTTCGGTTTTTTCTTTTTGATGGTGAGAATTCCATCACCTGGCCTCTAGAGCCCTTTCTGTAGGCTGACCTTCTCTATCCTTTTAAAATCTATTCCCAAAGTGCCTGGAAGGTACCTTGGTTTTTTGACAAGATATCTCTGGCTCTTTTTGTTTCTTCTTGCCCTACAAGATTCACTTGCTTCTCCAAGGAGATCTGATTCTTCTTACAGGAAAAGATTAGAGTCCAAAACCCAGGCACAAGTTGTGCATAATAGTTCTACATGAAGGTAGAGCTGGTGGACCCTGGGGCTTCTGGACACCCAAGTAACAGAGCAGAACCTTTTCTTAAAAGGCTTTAAATTTATGGTAATATTTCCAATTCAACTAGTTTTCTTTATAATCCATATACCATAAACCCTTTAAAACTATACAGTTCATTGGGTTCTAATATACTCACAGAGTTATACAATAATTACTGCAATCTAATTCCAGAATATTTTCACCATCTCCCAAGGAAACCCTGTAACCATTAGCAGTCACTACCCATTCCCCTCTCCAGCCCCTGGTAACCACCAATCTATTTTTTCTATGGATTGGCCTCTTCTGGACATTTCATATAAATGGAATCATCCAGTGTGTGGCCTTTTGTGTCTGACTTCTTTCACTTAGCGTAATGTTTTCAAGGCTCCACCACATTGTGGCATGTCAGTGCTTCATTCCTTTTTATGGCCAAGTAATATTCCATTGTATGTCTATGCCTCATTTTATTTATCTGTTCATCAGTGATGGACATTTGGGTCATTCCTATTGTTTGACTATTATGTATGAATAATACTTCTATGAACATTCTATTGTTTGGCTATTATGTATGAATAAAATACATAAAAAAGCAAAGCATTTTTCCTACTTTCTCACACCACTTAACACTTCTGATGCCAGATGCGTGGAGGGTTTTTCTTTACACGCTCAGCAGTTTTCCATCAGACACCAGCTTGGTGTCCTTTAATTTAATTCATTTCTGACACTATCTACTTAGAGATGGTGTCAAAGCCCATAGGTTAAGGGCTGTGTCCCACAGAACTACACCCCACTTCGGATTCCAGTTGCAAGTTCCAAGTGGTGAACTGTGCCTCTGATCAACCAGCCATAAACCGGGAGTGCCTATGACCCTCTCAATGGGTCTGATTACTCATAGAATTCAGGAAAACACCTTGCTTACCCATTTATTATGAAGGATATGACAGAGGATGGGGATGGACAGCAGATGGAAGAGATGCGTAGAGCAGGCTATGTGGGAAGGGACGCTGAGTCTTCATGCCCCTCCGGGTGCACCACCCTCTGGACATCTCCACGTGTTCAGCTGTCCAGAAGCTTTCCAAACCCTGTCCTTTTGGGTTGTCAAGGTTTTAATCAGTTGGCATGATTGATTAAATCATTGACCTTTGGTGATCACCTCAACCTTCAGCCCCTCTGTCCTCCCCAGAGGTTGGTGAGTAGGGCAGAAAGTTCCTACTCTCTAATCATGCCTTAGTCTTTCTGGTGACCAGCCCTCTTCTTGAAACTATTGAGGGGCCCTGCAGCCACCAGTCATCTCATTAGCATACAAAAGATACTCATCAGTCTGGAGAGAACCAGGGGTAGAGACCAAATATATATTTCTTATTAGATCTCAATATCAGCATTCATGTGCATGTCTTTGTGTGGCTGTATGTTTTTAGTCCTCTTGAGTATATACCTAAGAGTGGGATTTCTGGGTCATATAGTAACTCTGTGTAACTTTTTGAGTAACTTTCAAATGTTTTCCACAGAGACTTTACCATTTTACATTCCCACCAGCAATATATGTCATTGTCCATCTTTTATTTTAGCCATCCCATTGTATGTGAAGTAGTTTCCTCATTCTGATTTTGATTTGCATTTTCCTAATGCTTAATGATACTGAGCATCTTTCCACGTGCTGTTGGCACATATATCTTCTTCGGAGAAATGTCTATTCAAATCCTTGGCCCAATTTTTTTTTAACTAGTGTTTTTGTTTTTGAAATAAGGTCTCACGGTGTTGCCCAGGCTGAAATGTAGTAGCTATTCACAGGCAAAATCATAACATGCACTACAGCTTTAAACTCCAGGGCTCAAGCAATCCTCCCGCCTTAGCCTTCTGAGTAGCTGGGGCTACATGTGTGAGCCACCATGGCTCCCTTTGCTCATTTTAACATTGGCTTACTTGTCCTTTTGAAGCATCTTTCACGTTGTAGCACCCAATTAAAAAATTTTTTTGTTTTTGAATTTTAAGAGTTTCTGATATATTCTAGATACAAATCTCTTATTAGATGTACTGAATAGTAAGAGTTGAAATTTTTTCTTGTTGAATTGTAAGAGTTCTTTATGTTGTTGAATTGTAAGAACTCTTTATATTGTTGAATTGTAAGAACTCTTTCTATATTCTGGATACAAATCTCTTATTAGATATGTAATTTGCAGATATTTCTCCCATTCTGTGGGTTGTCTTTTCACTTTCTTGATAAGTAACCTCTGAACCCCAAATGTTTTTAATTTTCATGAAGTCTGGACAGGCATGGTAACTTATGCCAGTAATCCCAGCACTTTGGGAGGATGAGTTGGGACGATCACTTGAGCCCAGGAGTTTGAGACCAGCCTGGGCAACATAGCAAGACTGTCTCTCCAAAGAACAAAAACAATAGCTGGGGCCAGGTGTGGTGGCTCATGCCTATAATCCCAGTACTTTGGGATGCCGAGGGGAGTGGATCACGAGGTCTGGAGTTCAAGACCAGACTGGCCAACGTGGTGAAACCCCATCTCTACTAAAAAATACAAAAATTAGCTGGGCATCGTGGCTCGTTCCTGTAATCCCAGCCACTTGGGAGGCTGAGGTAGGAGAATTGCTTGAACCGGGACCCTGGAGGTGGAGGTTGCAGTGAGCTGAGATCGCACCACTGCACTCCAGCCTGGGCTACAGAGCGAGACTCCATCTCAACGACAACAACAACAAAAACATTAGCCAGTTGTGGGATGTGTGCCTGTGGTCCCAGCTTCTCAGGAGGCTAAGACAGGAGGATCACTTGAGCCCAGGAATTCAAGGCTGCAGTGAGCAGTAATTGTGCCACTGCACTCCAGCTTGGGCAACAGAACAAGTCTCTGTCTCTGAAAAAAAAATTAAAAAATAAAAAACATTTTTGATGAAGTCCAATTTATACATTTTCTTCTTTTGTTGTTTGTGCTGTTGGTGTCAAATCTAGGAAACTATGGGGCTTTCATGCCAAGTAATTTCTTATCTAAATCTATATTCTTTTTTTTTTTTTTTGAGACGGAGTTTCGCTCTTGTTACCCAGGCTGGAGTGCAATGGCGCGATCTCGGCTCACCGCAACCTCCGTCTCCTGGGTTCAGGCAGTTCTCCTTTCTCAGCCTCCTGAGTAGCTGGGATTACAGGCACGTGCCACCATACCCAGCTAATTTTTTGTATTTTTAGTAGAGACGGGGTTTCACCATGTTGACCAGGATGGTCTCGATCTCTTGATCTCGTGATCCACCAGCCTCGGCCTCCCAAAGTGCTGGGGTTACAGGCTTGAGCCACCGTGCCCGGCCAATCTATATTCTTCCTGTCTCTATTCTCATGCCCTGCTTTTCACCTCAGGGAACCGCATCAATTTCAGCAGGCCTGTCTAACATCTGATAGTTTCAGCTTGGTGGGACCAAGCTATTTACAGACAGAGTCTTGTGGACTTGGGTGCTTCCCTGTATTCTGCCGTAGTGTCTCCCACTCCCATCACTAACTTCTCTCCTGCACCCCCATGCTGGGCTCCTGGGACCTG